CTGTCGCTCGCCTCGCCCCGCGTTGTTGTGCCGTCGCTCATCCCGGCGCGCAACGACCCGCCGCACGGCAGCGTGCTTCCGCCGCTGAGCGCCGACGTGCTGAAGGAGAACGACGCGGAGGGTGTCGTACAGTCGCGCCTGTTTCCCAGCAGCATGATTGCCATCCGAGACACGGAGGCGACGCTCTTCACGGTTGGTAGGGATGTCGCGCTGCCGCGCAGCTGGCCCGTAAAGGAGGACCAGATCGTGGCCAGCAGCGGCGGCAATAGTAGTGGTGCGAAACCCCCTGTGGTGCCAGTTAGTTCGTGGAAAGAGAAAGGAAGCAACATGGCGGGTGAGAAGCTGACGCTATTGCAGAGCAATGGACGTGAGAAATGTGCCGGTAGCTTGAAAGATGGCCTTAGAGCGCCGGTGCGCGTGAACGTTCCGCTAGCGTCATCACCTCTCTGCGAGCGAAAGCGGGGGAAGGCAGTTGTCTTCCGGGGATAGAGGGTGTAAAGACTGAGGACAGACATATCATGTTTTTTTTTTTTNAAAAAAAAAAGTACTCGTACGATTTAGCGGGTGATGAAATAGCATGGTATTCGTATATTTATATATATATTTGTATATATATTTGTATATATATATATATTCCGCAGCGCGGTGCTACCGGTTGTGCGAATGGTGCGAAGAAAAAGAGACCGATGAGAAAGTGTGGCATTTTCTCTCTGAGAAGTCGTGATATTTTAGTTTTTTTTTTCGCCGTCTTCTCTTATCTATTCCTCTGTTTTTGTTTCGCTCTGTGATGGGAAGTGCTTATACAATCATAGCACTTGTTGTTGTCGCTGCTGCGTTTCATGTGTGTGTGTGTGTTTGGATTAGATGCTGCGGTTTCTCCCTCATCTGTCGCACTGCGAAAAAAAGGCGGACCGCATGGGAAGAAGAGGGGGACGAGGAATGCCCTCCATCGATAGACCTGGAGGAGAGAAGCGATGGCCCAAGAAGAGAAATATATCTTCTCTTCTCCCCACCCCCATGAATTCCATCACTCTTTTCATTGTTGTTGTTTTTTCCCCTCTTCATTTGTCGGCTGTACCGAATTCATCAGCAGCAAAACAAAACAGTGCGCTATCGGCTGTGTGGGGTTGCAACCTCATATTTCTTGTGTTCCAATAATGTCGTCACCATTGACGNGCTATCGGCTGTGTGGGGTTGCAACCTCATATTTCTTGTGTTCCAATAATGTCGTCACCATTGACGGTGAGGGTGGTGATTGTGATTGTGCTGCTGAGAATGATGCTGGTGACGGTCATGTTTCTGGTTTCCTTTTTTTTTTTTTCTTTCTTTTTTGTTTTGTTTTGCAACAGCATTCTGCCAATAGTGTGGAAAGTATAGTAGTGTGAGGCACCCCATACACACACATACGAAGCGCAGCCATAAAGTAAAAGGCGAGGGCATAAGTGATAGGAATGAGCGACGCTCCCCATAATGGGCTGGAGTGGGACGAGGTGACATACTTCTACTCGCCCCAAGCCATCCCGCCTGCATTCAACAAGTACACCAAGGTCATTTCCAACTTACTGCAGAACATCCCAATCACGGATGCTCTCCCTGGTGGTACCCCTGAGGCCATCGCGTTGTGCCAAGACGCGATGGAGACACTTGAGAAGGAAAGTGCTGTGTTAGACATTCTTGTTTCGGAAAGTGACGATCTGATCATTGTTGGTGACATTCATGGTCAATTCGCAGACTTGCTACATAATGTGCTTTCGCTTCAGCTGGACAAGCGAAAAGAGGCACCGGAATGCCGCAAGCAGTCGTGTAATGAGTACAAATTTTTATTTTTGGGTGACTACGTGGACCGTGGTCCGCGCAGTGTCGAGGTGATCACCTTGCTGCTGGCGTTGAAGATTGAGTATCCCCGTCATGTCTTCCTGCTGCGTGGCAACCATGAGGAGGCGCAGACCTCTCGCATGTATGGTTTCTTCCAGGAGTGCCGTGCAAAGCTGGAAGGGAACGGCGGGGGCGACAGCAGCCCCGCCAGCTCGAACATGTCGAGTAGCGCGTGGCTGCAGTACAACATGGTCTTCTGCTGGCTGCCCCTCGCAGCCGTTGTGCGCTGTCCCTCTGGTATGTTCTTCTGCGCCCATGGTGGCCTTAGCCCCTATACGCGCACCATCATGGGTCTCAAGACGCTGCGTAGACACGAGTACGGGCAGTCACTAGACAGCGGCTCCTCCTTTTTCGCCCCGTCACCGACGAATAATAATGACAACGAGTTGTCATTCAACGAGGAGCGGAACATCATTGATGGGCTGCTGTGGTCAGATCCACACGACGAAGTGTATGGCTGTCAGATGAACTGTAGGGGATGCGGCTTTGCGTTTGGTCCTGACGTCACAAAGGCCTTCCTTGACTGCAATTACGGCTACACCTTCCAGAGGCCCCACCAGCAGCAGCAGCAGCAGCAGCAGCAGGAAGAGGGGGAGCGGAAACATCCGGAAGAAAGTCGGAGTTGTGAGGAAAACGAGATACTGCAGTTTCTGGTGCGGGCCCACCAGTGTGTGCAGGAGGGCTATCAGTGGGCCCACAGTGGCCTCGTACTGACACTCTTTTCCGCTCCTAATTATTGTGGCATCAACAACAATAAGGGCGCCATTGCAGTGTTGCGGGGCCAGGCGCAGGCCGGGAAGGATCGCGTCTCATTTGAATACAAGGTATACGACGCCATCTCCACCTCGCCGAGTGGGTTGACAGATATCCCTCTCGTCCCTCAGTCGGAATCACCTGGGGTGAGGGACTACTTCGCGGATATTGCATAGAGGCGAGGCACTCACCAGAGCCAAGCAAAGTAAGGCAAGGCAGAAACCGAAGGGAGGAAGAGGGAGCCAAGAAACACAACACAAATGAGGATAAAAACCGAGAAGCGGTATCCTCATTTTTTTTTTGGTTGTTTTTCCTCTCGTACGCGAGTAAATGAAAACGAACAGCTGCTATGAGTGAAGGTTCGTGCTGTGTGATGCGTGGCCCGACGGATGTCACCATCACCACTGCCGCTGCTCCACTCTGCGATTTGCTGCCCACGCTTGCTGGTGCACGTCACCGCGCCAATGGAGCACCAACGCCCCCTCCCCCCCTTTTTGTTCCCCTCATGCCACACCCAAGGCGAACAGTGAATTCTTTTCGGCACCAGCAAGCGTGGGCAGAAAACCATACAAAAAGAAAACAGGCACCACGTGACACAAGAAAAAAAAAAATACTTACAGAAAGGCANCAGAAAACCATACAAAAAGAAAACAGGCACCACGTGACACAAGAAAAAAAAAAATACTTACAGAAAGGCACAAGTGAACCCCCCCAAATAAAAAAAAAAAGGAAGGCAGGTGACTCTGTTTGCTTGCTGAAGCATTTTGTGGAGGAACACGCGGCCCGTGTCATTTGCCCGCTCTCCGCGGAGTATCATACCATCACGGGCGGGCGAAGAGGGCGGAATCGCGAAGAACAACAAGCCAAAAGAAATTTCTATAAAGGAAGAAAGAAACGTCTGAGCGGAGAATGCGGTGGTAAGGCTCAAACATAGAGGCTAGAATGTCTCGCTTTCCTTCTCCCCCCCCCCCCTTTTTT